TGCCACTATATGCCACCAACACCACTATCATATTATATACATGCCACTATCTTCCACCAACACCACTATCATATTCTATACATGCCACTATATGCCACCAACACCACTATCATATTATATACATGCCACTATCTTCCACCAACACCACTATCATATTCTATACATGCCACTATATGCCACCAACACCACTATCATATTATATACATGCCACTATCTTCCACCAACACCACTATCATATTCTATACATGCCACTATATGCCACCAACACCACTATCATATTATATACATGCCACTATCTTCCACCAACACCACTATCATATTCTATACATGCCACTATATGCCACCAACACCACTATCATATTATATACATGCCACTATCTTCCACCAACACCACTATCATATTCTATACATGCCACTATATGCCACCAACACCACTATCATATTATATACATGCCACTATCTTCCACCAACACCACTATCATATTCTATACATGCCACTATATGCCACCAACACCACTATCATATTATATACATGCCACTATCTTCCACCAACACCACTATCATATTCTATACATGCCACTATATGCCACCAACACCACTATCATATTATATACATGCCACTATCTTCCACCAACACCACTATCATATTCTATACATGCCACTATATGCCACCAACACCACTATCATATTATATACATGCCACTATCTTCCACCAACACCACTATCATATTCTATACATGCCACTATATGCCACCAACACCACTATCATATTATATACATGCCACTATCTTCCACCAACACCACTATCATATTCTATACATGCCACTATATGCCACCAACACCACTATCATATTATATACATGCCACTATCTTCCACCAACACCACTATCATATTCTATACATGCCACTATATGCCACCAACACCACTATCATATTATATACATGCCACTATCTTCCACCAACACCACTATCATATTCTATACATGCCACTATATGCCACCAACACCACTATCATATTATATACATGCCACTATCTTCCACCAACACCACTATCATATTCTATACATGCCACTATATGCCACCAACACCACTATCATATTATATACATGCCACTATCTTCCACCAACACCACTATCATATTCTATACATGCCACTATATGCCACCAACACCACTATCATATTATATACATGCCACTATCTTCCACCAACACCACTATCATATTCTATACATGCCACTATATGCCACCAACACCACTATCATATTATATACATGCCACTATCTTCCACCAACACCACTATCATATTCTATACATGCCACTATATGCCACCAACACCATTATCATATGCCACTATCTTATTAACACAAATTTCCAGCAACCCATCTACTTTGTGTTTCACAGTATATACCCATTTACAGCCCACAGGTCGTTTGCCCGTAGGTAACTTAGTCAATTCCCAAGTGCCATTCTTCCTAAGTGCTTTCATTTCCTCAATCATGGCTAGTTTCCACTCAGAGATAGCAAGAGCATCCTGAAAATGGTTAGGAATGCTAACAGAGAAAATATTGGACACAAACGCTCTATATGAGGATAACAAATGAGAGTATGATACAAACTGGGAGATAGGATGTTGAGTACAAGATCTCACACCCTTCCTTTTGGCAATAGGAACATCAAGATCAATGGACTCACGAGATTCAAAGTTACCTAGACTCTCATCAGAAGCAGGAGATGGCAGTGGAGTAGCAGAAACGGTCCCTTGTATCCAGTTAACTTGTTTTCTGTCGATGTCCCGGACATAAACATGCCCATCCTTATTCTTGGTAACAGTGGGTTCTATAGTTCCAGTAGAAGAGGGGGGTGCAAGAACAACGGGTTCTACCATAGGAGGCACAGGACTCACTTCTACCATAGGAGACACAGGACTCACTTCACACCAAGGCTCCCCCGGAAATGAGGACGGTGACACCAGAGAGGACTGGGACTCAAAGAAATAGGACTGGGACTCAAAGAAAGTGACATCCATGGACACAAACCACTTACGAGAAGAAAGGTAGTAACATTTATACCCCTTTTGAGTAGGAGAATAACCAAGGAAAACACACTTGAGGGAGCGAGGGTCCAACTTACCACGAGAGGGAGAGTGATTATGGACAAAACAGACACAACCAAATATTTTGGGAGGAATAGAAAACAAGGACTGAGAACCGAGGAGGACGTGAAGCGGAGCCTGTTTGTCCAAGACCTGGGTAGGGAGACGATTAATAAGATGGGCAGCGGTGAGAACAGCGTCGCCCCAATAGTGTTGAGGCACGTTCATAAAAAAACACATGCACCGAACCATGTCAAGAAGATGCCGATTTTTGCGTTCGGCCACCCCATTTTGTTGAGGGGTATTGGTGCAAGAGGTCTGATGGATAATGCCATGAGTAGAGAAATATTGTCCTAACCCAGAATCTATGTATTCCCCGCCATTATCAGAACGAAATATTTTGATAGTGGCCCCAAACTGAGTACAAATCATCTTATGAAAAGTGCGAAACATAGAGAAAACTTCACTCTTATCTTTCATGAGATACACCCAAGTAGCACGAGAAAAATCAACAATAAATGTAACAAACCAGCGATGACCTTTCACAGACAGAACACGAGAGGGACCCCAAACATCAGAATGTATTAATGAAAAAGGAACAAAACTTTTATTCAAACTGGGAGTAAAAGAAGCTCTATGATGTTTGCCAAGTTGACAAGACTCACAAAGAAAGTCAGACACATGATGATTTGCGAAACTAGAAGGAAATAAATACTTAAGTAAATGAAATGAGGGATGCCCAAGACGCCGATGCCACCGCCATAAATCAGCGGGGTAGTAGAAGACGTGGTGGAAGAATAAGCCAGTTTGTCCGGTTGATCTAGGGAGTAGAGACCATTTTCTGCACTACCACTGCCAATCGTCCTCCCCGTGACAAGGTCCTGAAAAAGACAATGATCAGAAAAAAACGTCACACAACAATTCAAATCCTGGGTAAGACGACTTAAGGATAACAGATTAACAGAAAACTTGGGAACATGGAGAACAGAAGATAGATGCATGGTAGGAGTGACTTGGACTAAACCTTTTCCAGAAATGGAAGAAACAGTTCCATCGGCAATCCTAACTTTGTCCTGACCTGAAGAGGGCTTATAGACAGAGAAAAGATCAGAGGAGCCAGACATATGATCTGAGGCACCAGAATCAATAATCCACGGCAAAGATGGATGACACAGGAAAGCACAAGGAGAAGATGCTAAGTTACCTGAGCGGGCAAAGGACGAGGAAGCGGTACTGAGAGCAGTAGAAAATCGGCGGTCCAACAATTGGCGCAAAGCATCCTCCAGCTCAGTATCAGAAGCTTGGGTAACAGAAATAGAAGTAGACTCAAGGGTATCAACGGCGCTAGACTGATGAGCCCGGGAATAGGAACCACGTCCTCGAGATTGGCCGGACCGACCTCCTCGAGAACCAGACCGATCACCTCAACCCCCAAATGGAGTCCCATGAAACTTCCAACAGGTCTCACGAGTATGCCGCGGCTTCTTGCAATAATCACAGAATACAGACTCCTTAGCAGCAGACGAAGGAGGCAGGCTGAGGCCATCTCGAGGAGTAGACAGTAAAGCGGAACGGTCAGTAGAGACAGGGGACATCATAGCAGACCGACGACTCTCCTCATTTTGGACATAGGCAAATGCCTCCTGAAGTGAAGGAAGAGTGTCCATACTCAGAACTCGACCCCTAACTGGATCATACTCCATATTTAGGCCGGCCAAAAATTTAAAGACCCATTCCCGTGCAATGAACTTCTTATACCCGACAGAATCAGAACTCACAAGCTTGCGTATCAAAAGCATAAAATTGCGTACCTTAGACCCACGGGAGTGCCTCTCTTTTATAGCCAACATAAACCTAGTCCCACTAGAAACCTGACTTCTATGGACTCCCTGACTTCTTAGCAAAGTTCCCTCTTTACTTTAGGACTCTTGTCCCTTATCTTTTATCCTTTTATCTCGGATTCCGATATTTTCGGAGATAACCTCGGGCTTGCAAAGATAACCTCGGCGTCACAACCAGGACACGTGGCACCTCGGCTGACACGTCGGCGTCACCTTGTCACGTGTTGGTATTCAGAAAATGCATCCCCACACAAACATAGCCCAATGATCCGACCAGTACCTCTTCAATACAATTAAAGATTAGAGAGAAGTATAGTTCTAAAAAAAAATATACAAAAAAAAAAAAAAAAAGAGAAAAAATTTAATTTTTTTTAAAAGAGTAATCATTTTAAAAATTTTTTGACTAAAATGTAGTCTTCTCAAAATAAGCCCCGTGCAATATGATGATGCCTCCCTCTTTGAAGATCAGACTTTGACTCAATTTTTGGACGCTTAAAACAAAGCTTTCGGTGTTGTTTTTGTGTTTTTTTTTTTTTTTTTTTTTTTTTTTTTTTTTTTTTATGTAAAATTGTGATCGGGGTGGATCCCTGAGAGAAATAAAATATGGGCTGTTGTGCAAATGTGTAAAATGTTTTTTTTTTGTTTTGTTTTTTTTTTTTTTTGTTTTGTTTGTTTGTTTTTATGTTTTTTTTTTTTTTGGTTTTTTTGTTTTTTGTTTTTTTTTATTTTTTTTTATATATTGATTTATTTATGTATACATGTATTTATATATAAATATATATAACAGGCTATATTTATATATATATCAGGATATATATATATTTATATATACCAAGGCTGAGATCATACCACAGTGACAGAGGCTGAAGACGATGACGACGAGCGACGATCGACAGAGGAAGGCGAGGAGATCGACGAGGTGAGGGAGACGACAGAGGAAGGCGAGGAAGACGAGCTGACGGCTGAGTGAAGATCCACCCAGGTAAGCTTCCAACCCTAGAGTGTCGTTGGTGTAAAGGTCTACCAACGAGGGTGAGCCGAAACCCTAGAGGTTCAGCTCTAATACCATGAAGCTCGAGTAACCAACTTAAGGGTGTGATAGAATATCACCCCCTATTTATAAAATGAAGATTAGGGTTTACAAGAGAGTCAATTACAAGATAATCCCTGAGGGCACAAAATGATTACAGACAGACCTTAGTGAAACTTTCGGCTAATATAATATGCTAACAGTTACTTGGTCCAAGGATGGAATTTTCTTCTGTCAGAGAAAATATGTTCTTGACCTGTTGAAAGAAACCAGGATGCTTGGGAGTAAAGCTTATGATACACCACTAGAGCTAAATCAAAAACTTAATAATGATAGTGGGGGAGCTATTGTTGATAGGGGGAGTTATCTAAGACTAGTGGATAAGCTCATTTATTTATCTCATTCTCGTTTTGACATTGTCATGGCAGTTAGTGTGGTTAGCCAGTTCATGCATGCTCCTCGTGAGACACTTGGTTGCAGTAATGCGCATCCTTAGATACTTAAAATCTTCTCTAGGAAAGGGTCGCTCATCTTTGGGTGAGAGCTTATACAGTTGTTGATTGGGTAGAATCAGTAGCTGATAGAAGGTCCACATCTGGTCATTATACCTTTGTTGAGGTAATTTGGTTACTTGGAAGTGTAAGAAACAGAATGTAATCGCCCGATCTAGTGCAAAGGCCGAGTATAGAGCCATGACTCAAGATATATGTAAACTATTGTGGATCAAGTTGCTGCTAAGTGATCTGGGAATTAGTCATACTGATTCCATGCGATTGTACTATGACAATAAGGCTGCTATTAACATAGCTCACAATCCAATTCAGCATAACTGAACGAAACATGTGGAGATTGATCACCACTTCATTACGGAGAAACTCACCTGTGGCACTATATGTACTCCTTTTGTGAAGTCTGGTGAACAACTAGCAGACATTCTCACCCAGCGAATTGGAAGCAAACCATTCCATGATGTGCTTGGCAAGCTGGGTATGAAAGACATCTTCGCACCAGTTCAAGGTGGAGTGTTAGAATAATATCTTTGGTTATTGTGTATTGATTATTCTATTAGCTGTTATTTCCTTGTTATGTTATTTCCTTATTTATGCTTCCAGGGCTTCCATTGTAAGTTACCTATTATTAATATAAAAAGGGATGATTGTCTTATCATTCTCTAAGTTTTTCTCTCTCAAACAAACACTTTTTTATTATGTTTTTAGCAGGTCCTATAAAAATTTCATTTTAATATCAAGTTTAAATTGTTTACATTGTCCTTTAACTTTTCACACCTAAAAGTGTAATATGCTAAAATGTAGTACGCAAGTTTACTAGTTTTGATTCATTGTTGGAATCGGACTATAGTATCATGATATTTTATTGTTCTCTAAGCTAAGTATTGTAAAACTATTTTTCTATTTAAACTAATAATTATACTCTACAGACTACAACTATGCAAGAATAATTACAATATCAATTTCATAGTAGTTCTGATACATGACCTATATTTGATATTTCTCAAAATTAAAGAAAATTAATTTCAAGTATCGGATATGTTTTAGGAAGCATCTGATACATATCAGTATCCAATACAGATACAATACAGATATGACTCCCTTCTAGAAGTATTTGTACTTTCATAGCCAGAGAAACATAGGATTATAACCATCCCAATATTTCCGAAACACATTATTCAATAGTAACACAACCAAGAAGAACCTGTCTTTCATGTTCACAATTTTTACAATAGACCCTCCTCAAAAATTTGTAAAAATCGCTGGAATTTTTACAATCGCTGGAAGAACATGTCTTTCATGTTAACAATTTTTACAATAGACCCTCCACAAAAATTTGTCAAAATCGCTGGAAGCTAGGGTGTCAACCAGTAACCCATGAGAATATTTCCTAGAACATAATATTTGAAAATGTCACAAAGTAGAAGTTACGAGATAATACCCAATGTTAGAGCCTTCCGCTCGAAGTTCTAGGGCACATAGTGTTCCCAATACAACCACTCTATGGACTGTTCGATGCGATGAGATCAGCTGCACTAGACCCATATCCCATAACTGCAAACATTCAAAATCAAATGACAGATTTGCAGAAATCATTTTTTTTTTTTGATCAGCAAAGGAAAATTTCATTAACAGCATAAAATTAAGAGTACAGGAAGATGAAGCGCACCGAGAGAGATTCGGAAGGTACAAACTACCCCTACTACTGCTACTCGCGCCCAAACAACCAGCCCCCTCCGCCTCACACTTTTTTATACATAGAGTAAAAATAGAGGTTAAGAAGAACTTAACATAAAAACAGAGGATAACAGCCTCACTAACAACCCCCACAAAATACAAGTAAAACACTGAGCAGAACACTACTTTTACCCACTGAGCAGAACACTACTTTTACCCATTGCAATCTAATACACCCAAGGACAAATACCCAATCTACAAACACCACTGCACCCAGCACACTACTTATCAGAAACACTACTTATCAGAAACACCCACTGCACACTGCAATCTAATACACCTCACACTACAAACACCCAACCTCACACACCCATTGCGCACTGCTATTACAGCTAAACATTTCCATCCTTTAAAAATCTCTCTTTGTCCTTACGCTCCAGCTCAAGAATCTTCTCAACCACACCCTCTTCTTGCCCACAGAAATTAATACCCAATTCTTTCCATAATCTGTGTGTTTCATGCGCTTCCTTGAGGAGATAGCTATGCGAGCTTGATACACCCTCGGACACTGCTGCTGGCCTGAAGATAACGGACTTGGAGGGAAGCCTACCGATAGCTGCAGATTGGTGACCATAGAGTCGAGCAAACCGAGAAAAACCTTCCATCTGAACCTTCTTTTTCCCAGCTTTCTTGGCCGATCGATTTGGGCTGAGGAAAGGAGCAGGACTATGAACATTGCCTTGATTGCTTGACCCATTTGAACCAACCGATAAGAGAGGCCCGGGTAATAAAGACTTATCGCATGCCCTGTTACCTTGATGTTCAACTGGCATACGAATAGGTCCTTGAACTAAAAGCTCATTATACGGAGGGCCCAAGGCAACTTCCAGATTAATACCAGGCCCAAACCCACCTGGCGATCCGCTGAGGCTTTTGAACAAACCAGCTTCAGAAGCGTGCTCGGCACACCTCAGTGAATGGTCATTTCTCTTTGGGCAGGGTGCACACTCCTCCATCATTGCTGCTTTCCCACCTATTCCATTAGGTCTGCTGGCCGCCACATCACCACATGTCTCCTCAACAACTGTGCCCACCATCTCTCTACTGTTGCATTGAGGAAGCTCCTTCCTTTGAGCCACTTCAATGGAGGAAGGCACCGCATCATCAGACAAGGCAAACTGATTTGGCACTATATCAACATCGTCCTTCCTCTTGCATCCCCCATCTGTGAAGTCATTTTCCTCAGCTCTGCTTAGGTCCACTTTGGAGCTGCTGTTACAATCACCCAGCGCGATTCTTCTCACCCCATTACCCTCCACTGGATTAGCAAAATGGTCTTCACATACAAAAACTGGGTGTAATTTACCCTTGCACTCCAGATGAATGGTTTTGTTAATGAGCTCCATGCATGTTGTAACCACTTTAATTCTGGAATAGGAAAATGACTTTGGTTGGCTAAGATCACCCTCCAATTGAAGGACTGTCCCCCACAAAGCTCCAATGTTGTTTAGATTGCTCCTATTCCAGAGGTTCAGAGGAATACCATGACATTTCAACCAAACACACCTCTCTTGGTCTATTTGGATTCCTGGCCTCCATTCCAAAATAAACTGACTCCAGTCTTTAAACCAGTCCTTGATTTTCTGGATATTTGATTGGAGCTCCTCCTGGGATTTGAAAGTCAAGATTGCATCCCTGCCGCCCCCTTGTCTGACCACCACTTGATCTAACGCATTGTCCTTCAAAGCAGATCTGATACTGTTAATGGAGAAATCCGAGTTGAGCCTGATAATTATGCTTTCATAAAGCCAACCGTGACCATCTTCATTGGCTTTGACGGTCATGCTTGCTTTTACATCCACCATGGTCGATTCCCCTTGTAATACCTCTGCAAAAGATTTGTGGCCAATATATGGGGTTGTACCTTTACCTCTGTTTGGGTTAAAGGCTTCTCTATTGGCTTGGGGTCTTCTCATGCTAAGCACACTCCTGTCATGAGTTGCATACTTGACCTCAAGTACCTTATCATCCACCAGATTTGCAGAAATCATGAGTGACATAATCAGAGAATGATCCCTAAATGTTTCAAAGATGGACAATTTTTATGTTGCAAGGTATTCGACAATTCAACTTGTGACCTGTGGTGGCTAACCAATGCAGTGATATGTTGCAACAAAACATAATAAACATACATATTCATTTCACTCGTGATCAAGATCCTTTATGACCATTTATTATGATGCAACTAACAGTGCTGTTTTTGAGAGACTAGCAAGTCCTAGGCTGTCAGCAGCAAAGCAGAAATACTACACTATTAACTCAGGCAGTACACACACCCTTGTTGTGGGGGAATACCCTCCCAACCAAATCTAGTATAATAAGGAATAGAACAATAAGCAACAATTCCAATCAACAAGCCAAGCTCAACTAAGCCAACAACAATAACAAATATCCCAACTTCCAAGCAACCAAAATTAGAAAAAAAAGAAAAAAGAAAAAAAAAGGGAGAATGAATTGGGTTTTATGCAGCAATGCCTCTCCCTCAATCTCACTTCGGTCTGTCAACTCTAAAGGAAACAAAAAAAATAAAAAAAATGAGAAGGCTATTAGCTTCTAGCAGCAATATTTTTTAAGTGATAAGGGGGACTACATGGATTGAAAGTTCCTCTACAATGATACAAGTGGGTAGAAATGCAAGGCAAAAACAAGACAGGTACTAGAAAAATAGAAGAACAAATTAAAAATCTCATTTCCGCTTACCTCCTTCAACAACCTTCCTTCAGAAATTAAATTGAAATTTGTTTGAGTGTCCTTAAACCATTTTATGGATTTAGCTGCTGCTGTACACCCCATAGCATGCGCAGTATACGAGTGTCCATGCAACAGAGCCTTGAGCTGAACAAAGAATATAACATAACCATTTTAATTAAACATCTAAAAAATGCTAAATATCAAACATGCACATAAACATGCAAGACAAGGTATATCAAAGTCCAAGTTGCAAATCTATCTTTCCTTTCCTTTTTTAATCCAATGATGATGGGGCACACAATAGGGGGCATCGATTCTCCTGGCCCAAAACGCACACTCCTTATTTGTTAATAATCCTGGGTAGGGTTTCTAAATTAGAATTCTCAATTGGGAAGGCAAAGTTAAAGGCTTGAATTTTGGAGAAGTTCAGGTTGGATTTTGACATGGAACGGAAGGTTAATGCTAGTTGGAAGTTGTGGATAGTATGGAAATTCAAGAATTAAAGGGTATAAAAGATGAGGCAAATAAGGGTTGGAATTTAGATTTAAGGATGCAACTAGGGAGAAGTAGAGAAGTAAGGATGCAAAATAGAGCTGGGAATTAAAACTAAAACCAAGAAAAATCGAAAAACAAGAAAAACAAAGAGAATAGAGCCTAGAACCTCTCTAAAGACATCTAGGAGTCTAACCATTGAAAGCAACAAAAATTTGCATAAAATCTTTATTAATCAACTACTTGTCTCATTGTATTACAAATTTACAATGGGCTCTCTTATATAGAAGCATTGTAACTATACTAGGATTCCTATTGCCAACTAAACTAAGGTTTCCTAAACTAATTAAAAACTAATTTAGTTCCAAACAAGGACTACCAAATTACAAAACCTTACAACCTCCTCATCAGGTGAAATAGATTAGCTTGTAAATCTAAATCAGATGATGCAATTCATTGGCAACAATGTGGCAGCTTCAAAGACCAGAGAGAAATATATTGTATGGTAATAACTTAATAAAAATATTCATTCTATCCTAAGAAACGTATAAAATCCACAAGCTCTTCCATGGCGGTTCTCTCTTCAATTGCGGTTCTCTCATCCTTTAGGGTTTCATCGATGAAACCCTAGTAATCGGGTTGCATCTGAAGGTTTTTTTATGATTGTATTGTATTTTGAAACCATTTGTAAAACAATTGGATTATCAATCTTTCATTTCTTTATCTATCTAGTGCATTACATTTCTGTGATTGAGAATGTGTGTTTTACAACAATTTTCTATGCTTGTGTATAGGAGACACCATTGTGCTTGGACTAGACGAGTTGTGCCACAAACCCTAGTTTAATGTGGACAACTCGTGCTGGTTAAAGATAGTAGATGCCAGTGGATTGAATACCTCAAATTTCTTGTTAACAAGTCCAAACTTGTAGTTGTGGAGTTGTTCATTTCAAATACTCACTTTCATAAAATCCAAGTGCAAAACCCAGTTGCACGTCAAGTGGTTGGACTAGATACCCAAAGTACTCTCTCTATCTCATTACCTAAACTTAATAGTGCTTTTTAATTTAGGGTTTTAAATTCAATTCTCATTAAATCTTTCTCAATCAAATTGGAATCAGTTCAAATTAATTTAGATATTGATTATTAAAATAACAAAATAATCCAATAGTCCCTGTGGGTGTGAACTTGTGCTTGCTAACTATACTCGCTTTACGTTGTATGGAAAGATTGATTTTGCAACGATCAACCCCTATCAATGTTCAAGTTGTTCTCTCAAACAATGACACTAAATCTTTCTTTAGTTAAGTCAAATGAGATCCACTGTACAACATCTTATCAGCAATCAATATGGCTACCAAGGGCAAATTACCTTTCAGTCATCACTTAAATGTATAAATTAAGCATAAGAGAATTACCTTGGAATCCTCAACAAATGCATCAAAAACAGCATCTGTTGCCAATGTGGCAGCCAATGGCACAATTCCACCAGTCATCAGTTTTGCAAAGCAGGCTATATCTGGTTGACAGCAAAGTAGTTCTGCAGCAGACTGGAAAGAAAGAGAAACTTTATCGGATAAGTACGCAGGGGGATGAAGGGGGAAATAAAATTAAAATTACAGTTGCAACTAACCTCCACTCCCAAACGCCAGAAACCAGTAAAAACCTCATCAAAGATAACTGGAATCTTCCGACTCTGGCATTCTTTAACAAGTACACGTTGGAAAAGCGGATCAACCATCAACATTCCACCTGAACCTTGTATAACTGCAAGATGTTCCGAACTATACTAACTCATTTCCAGGTACTTGTAACTTAAAAAAAATAAAAAATTAAATAAATTTTTTTTTTTAAAAAGCCAGATAATAATGTGGCATGATTTTTGTCCATTCAATGCACGTGATAAGAAAATGTGGTATAATCAGCCTCAAAAATTAATCCTTCCCTGTGATGATTCCTATCTTTGTATTCTGCCTCATTGGCCACATCCAAGAATTAAGAATCATATACCACGCAAAGGATAGATATTTGGCTAAAATATTTGGAGTTTCAAATGTTTAGATTTAGAATAACTCTATCGAGAACATTATCAGCTACTATCTCTATTTTCATTGTAAATTTTGGAGGAGCCAAGTTGCTGTTTTTCAGCAAAATTTTCAAATCATACAATAACACATAAACCTTTATACACACTAATAGTTGTTAGAATAGTGGAGAGAGAAAAATAATATGTATTGTATTGAATGAATTGTATTGAATAATATTATCCTATACAATAGAAGGCCTGTATATATAGGTTGAGAAAGAGTATCTAACTAGAAATCTAACTATGAAAAAGAGTATCCTATAAGAGACCTAACTATGGTAATACCTAATATATCTAGGAAATTAATACCTAATATACGTAGGAATATATACCATAGTTTCTCTTGTGAAGCTGGTCCTCGATAGGTTCCATGATAATTGAACTGCTCCCTTCATTTTTACTCTCATAAAGCAAGCCTTTCTATCTGAACCACATAATACCAATCAACATGGATCCTCCTAAAGTGAAGCTATTTTTTTTCTCGGATCAGCAACATAAGTAGTTTTATTGAGGGAGCTAATCAAAATATGCTTTGGTTTGGGTGTTATAATTGAAGAAAAAGAGGGTGGTAAAATGGTCAAGTTTTGAAAATGGAATAATGGTTAGACACACCAAGCTTTAAAGCCTGTTTTAGAATAGAATTAGAAGGAAAATAGTGCTATATTTTTAACGCGAAAATATAATTATAGGGCTAGAATTTTGAGGTAAAATAAGGGTAGGCTTTTCAATGGTAGTGTAGGGTAAAATAAGGGTAGGATGAAATTGAAGGCATTGAAGACCTTTTGAGTGTATAGGGTTCACACTTTCAAGGCAATTTTGGTAATAAAATTTTTGCTTATCAAACAAAAAACTTCAGAATTTTAATGAGTCTTTGGAATCATTGAAAAAATATAAAAATTAAAAAATAAAAACAATAGTGGGATCTCATCACTAAAAGAGAAAAAAAATAATTATCAATCAAATTTCTTTAGTTGTCTCTACAAAGCTTGCTTATCTAAAATCATAGCTAAAAGGGTTGAAAACTAAATAAACTCAATTAATTCCGTAAGGAAGTGGCCCAAAAACACGTCTAACCAGAGCCCTAATAATCTAAACACCACTCATGCCTATGTTGTATACATGATATCTTGACCTCATACCTGCCAACCTGAACCACAGTCATGCTTGGCTGTCTTCCTGCTAAGATAGATCCACCTTGACCAGGCTTGGAGAAGAGGTGATATGGAGCTTACACTCATGCCTATGTTGTATACATGATATGTTTTTTTTTTTTTTTTTGATAAATAAAGGATTTATTAGTAAATGCATCAAAATGATGCAAAGAATACAACATAGCACCCCACAAAGGAAACCCTAAAAACAAGCACTACCCAATTATGGCATCTAGAAAATCTAAAAAAACAAACAAATCCGGATCAACTGAATGCTCCAACCAACTATACAAAGCACCAATAAGCCGAGACTCTAACCAAGGAACACCATGATGAACTTCTTGAAAGGTTCGGCTATTTTGCTCCAACCAAACAAGCCACATCAAGCAAGACGGCACCAACAACCACACCCACCACCTTTGACGACCAATCCGAGCACCTCGCCAAGCCCACAGCATAGACAACACCCCTTGAGGCTGAACCCAAACAATCCCAAAGAGTGAGAAAATAAGATCCCACAGCCGCAAAGCCACTGGACAATGCAAAAACAAATGATCTACCAACTCCGCATTAGCACCACACATACAACATCGATTCACCAAGACATGCCCACGCCTAATCAGATTATCCAACATAAGATTCCTCCCCAAAGCCGATGTCCACATAAAGAAAACCGCCTTAGACGGGACACTCGGCACCCAAACACTCTTCCAAGGAAACAACCAACCACAATCCCCCACCAAACCCCCATAAAACGAAGCAACTGTGAACTTTCCTTTGGCCCCCACCCCATTCCACACCATAGCATCAGACCCCACCCCAGAAAGATCCAAACCATACAAAAACCTCAGAACTCCAACATCTGAGCCACCTCTCAATCATGTAACGGCTGGCGCAACTGAATATCCCAAACCACCACACCCCCTCCCAAACATGATATGTTGCCCTCATACCTGCCAACCTGAACCACAGATGGTAGTAGGGTTGAGCCTCCATTAGAATTGGGAAGAGCCAGCCACCTATCTAACACCAGGCTTGGAGAAGGGTGATATGGACCTTACACTCACACCGCTATTGTATACATGATATGTTGCCCTCATTCCTGCCAACTTGAACCACAGATGGCAGTAGGGCTGATGTGGAATTGGGAAGAGCCAGCCACCATTCTAATAGGTTACTTGGGCTCTAATGTTCCAAGGACTTATATAACATATCATGTATACGACAAACAAACACACCTACACTAAGACACTAACACAATCATACACAAGTGTTCAAGGTCTGTCATTGCCAACCTCTCTATCTTTAAACCTCCCTTGGTCTTCTCCTCTCCACCTCTAATGATCTTAGGCCATTGAAGTACCGCCATCTTCCCAAAGGCCAACAACCGACCACCTCTAATCTCACTTACCTACACAACTTAATTGCCTAAATTTGCACAGAAACAATTGCATAATGTGGAAGACAAATCTAGACAACTATTACACACATAACTATATTATGTATAGTAGTACCACTATCTTTAATGTGGAATGTGATAAGAAGATACAAGGAAATTAGGAATTCCATATAGAGATGGTTTGGAGTTGGACCATATCCAATCAAGCTTTCAGTTTAATTTGAGTTATTTTTTGTGTTGCTGATACAGTTCAAGTTTATTAAGTTTTAAGAGCCAAGGGTAGTTTTAAATCATTATTGGTAATTATGTGATCTTTTTTAAGTCTTTACTGCTCAGTCAGTTTCTTACATGATTACATCCTTAATTTAGAGTCTATCTACTAGTAATAGAAAAGGTCTGGGAGCTCATACATGTCAAATGGTTGTATCTACTAGCTGAAGAGAAGTTGAGGGCATGTTCACTTAGCTTAAACCATCCTTCATAGTAGCAAACAGCCTATTTCATTACCAAAATCCTACCAAGCCTCAATCAACCTTCACTCTTTTCCTTACATTTTGGCATATTAATTTAACACCATAACCCTTAAAATAGCTGTTTATAAAGATTTAAGTAACTAACTTTTGACAATCCAGTAACCTGTTGCTTGGGGAATAAGGCCAACTCCAACTCTTTCCAACCCCCCACCCCCCTCTCCAACCTATAAACCTGATTACCTTCTAGAACCCCAAAATCTAAAAGATTTCCCTGATCTGAACTAACAACAAAACCAAATTGTGCAATGTTAAATTTGCATAAAGAAAGACAGTATTGAAGAACAAGAACAGAAAGGTAATAACGTGGTTCGGCCAATCATTGCCTATGTCCACACGCAAACTCCATATCAGTAACACCCTTATGTATAGGGTGAATTACAATCATATCCCACAAAATTAGAGATTAAATAATATCCATAATTCTAATGATTGAAATAAAATCAAACCATAAATTATGCAACCATAAATCACGGGATTTACATATCTTCAATAGGCAACATCATCCTATGTTACTTACCACTGAGCTAGATCACATCTCCCATTATATTTTTCAATTTATAATCTTTTTCAAATATTGATAAAACCATACTCAATGTGGTGACCTTTATGCCTGCAGTCACGGGATTTACATATCTTCAATAGGCAACATTATCCTAAGTTACTTACCACTGAGCTCGATCACATCTTGTTAAAACCTACCATCACCTACTCCACCTACTACACCTACCACCACCTACTACCACCTACTACACACCTACCACTACCACCTACTACCACCTACTCCGCTACATCTCCTATATAAGGAGCCCCTCACCATTTGTAATAGATAATCTATTTCTCTTTATACATTAAATTTTACATGGTATCAGAGCAGGTTTAAAACCTAGTATTTTTGCTTCCCCGGCGGGCGGCAACCTCACCTTAGCCGCCCGCCGGACCTCAACCTATTCCGCTTATTTTCTACACATACCTTCCCATCATTGCCCAAATCCACCTGTCCAACCCAGTTGACGACCGACTCCCATTCTGTGCTCACCGCTGCTACGCCGGCGACAAACACTCACACCACCACATGTACTCATCTTCCCCCTCCCAGCACAAGGCCATGTAAACTCCATGTCCTTTAGTGATTCTGTCTGCAGTGCTATAGCCTCTCTCTCTAGGTTTCTCTGTCAAGCAAAAATTTGTTGATCGACCTCTATATACATGGTCTTTAGCTTCCGACCAGCCCGTAGTTCTGAGTTTCGGAGGAGGACTGCTCAAGGCTGCTCTCAACCCACCATGGACGCAGGTGATTGGAGGACCCAATTGCAACCCGATTCTCGACAAAGGATTGTCAATAAGACAATGGACACTTTGAAGAGGCATCTTCCCTTTACTGGAGAAGAGGGACTGCTTGAACTCAGGAAGATTGCTGTAAGGTGTGAGGAGAAGATCTACACCGCTGCCACAAGCCCGTCTGATTATCTGCGGAGAATATCTCTGAAGATGCTGACGATGGAGAACAAACATCAGAATTTTGTTGCCAACTCTCCACCGTTGAATGCTGCCAGTAATATCACAAAGCCTCCACATACAGGAAAAGTGCACCGCGGCTCTAAAATGTGACCACCTGTGCTGCACAAAGATGAGCTGATTGATGTTGGTACATGGGGAAGTGGACTCACGTACTATCTTTAATGTGGAATGTGATAAGAAGATACAAGGAAATTAGGAATTCCATATAGAGATGGTTTGGAGTTGGACCATATCCAATCAAGCTTTCAGTTTAATTTGAGTTATTTTTTGTGTTGCTGATACAGTTCAAGTTTATTAAGTTTTAAGAGCCAAGGGTAGTTTTAAATCATTATTGGTAATTATGTGATATTTTTTAAGTCTTTACTGCTCAGTCAGTTTCTTACATGATTACATCCTTAATTTAGAGTCTATCTACTAGTAATAGAAAAGGTCTGGGAGCTCATACATGTCAAATGGTTGTATCTACTAGCTGAAGAGAAGTTGAGGGCATGTTCACTTAGCTTAAACCATCCTTCATAGTAGCAAACAGCCTATTTCATTACCAAAATCCTACCAAGCCTCAATCAACCTTCACTCTTTTCCTTACATTTTGGCATATTAATTTAACACCATAACCCTTAAAATAGCTGTTTATAAAGATTTAAGTAACTAACTTTTGACAATCCAGTAACCTGTTGCTTGGGGAATAAGGCCAACTCCAACTCTTTCCAACCCCCCGCCCCCCTCTCCAACCTATAAACCTGATTACCTTCTAGAACCCCAAAATCTAAAAGATTTCCCTAATCTGAACTAACAACAAAACCAAATTGTGCAATGTTAAATTTGCATAAAGAAAGACAGTATTGAAGAACAAGAACAGAAAGGTAATAACGTGGTTCGGCCAATCATTGCCTATGTCCACACGCAAACATATCAATAACACCCTTATGTATAGGGTGAATTACAATCATATCCCACAAAATTAGAGATTAAATAATATCCATAATTCTAATGATTGAAATAAAATCAAACCATAAATTATGCAACCATAAATCACGGGATTTACATATCTTCAATAGGCAACATCATTCTATGTTACTTACCACTGAGCTAGATCACATCTCCTATTATATTTTTCAATTTATAATCTTTTTCAAATATTGATAAAACCATACTCAATGTGGTGACCTTTATGCCTGCAGTCACGGGATTTACATATCTTCAATAGGCAATGTAGAAAATTTAATGTATAAAGAGAAAAATAGAGAATTGTATTATTGATTGATTTATATTGATATCTATTACAATGATTCATGATTCCTATATATAGAAGAGGGTGAGTGTGTAGTAGGTAAGGAGTAGGTGAAGTGAGTGTGTAGTAGGTAAGGAGTAGGTGAAGTGGAGGTGGTAGTGGTGTAGTGGGTTAGGTTTAGTGGAGTAGGTGAGGTGGTAGTGGTGTAGTGGGTTAGGTTTAGTGGAGTAGGTTTAAGTGGGTGAAGTAGGTGGAGAGTGGGTGAAGTAGTGGGTTAGGTTTAGTGGAGTAGGTTTAAGTGGGTGAAGTAGGTGGAGAGTAGGTGGATTTTAACAGGCAACATTATCCTAAGTTACTTACCACTGAGCTCGATCACATCTCGTATTATATTTTTCAATTTACAATGTTTTTCAAATATTGATAAAACCATACTCAACCTGGTGACCTTATGCCCGCTATCAAGTTTTCTTTCTTACCTTTTTCCCGAGTGTCAAGCAAATGTGCACTAATACCATTAAGGGTCAACCAAGAATATGAGAAATGTCAATCGAGTTTACAAAATTGCGGAATTTAGTTTTGAATCCAAGAAGTGTTTATCATATATCCCAAACTGCTGAATAAGTGTTGGCGTCTAACATGGACACCACTCCAGGCCACTTAGCTCATGGTCTACAAAATTACCAAAATATGACCTGTTATAAATAAATAAATAAATCAAATTGTTCCAGTTCAAGCAAAGTTAGAACAATGTGTGTCCAGCGAAAATAATCTTCAATAATTTGGCCTCAATGTTCAACAAAAATTCCCCTTTCTTCCTTTGCCCATGCATCACTTTAAGAAGTTAATTACTTAAATCTATCAACAACATAACATGACTGTTGAAACCCCCAATCCTCCTACATGTGTGTCACTACCATGTGAGGATTCAGTATGGATAGGATAACAAATAAGAAGGATGAAGTCAAATGTGAGGTCTCATCATTCAATTCATATTTAGAAATTGGATGGAACAAGAACATGAAGTGGAATGTGCCCTAGAAAAGGAAGGTTGACCCAAAGGAAAGAAAATCTAAGTTAATGACAAAATTATAGTTAATTAACAGCTCTCACGAAAATGAAGTTTATATAGTAGACACTAATTCCAACTTCATAAAGAATTGAATGAAACTAACCATAAATCAATATGTTATACTATATTACCTGGTTCTATAATCAATGATCCAATATGTGTAAAACCTCTTAATCCTGAATGTAGTGATAACTCTCGAGTTATATAAGATGAATAACTACCAGCCAGACTTGACCCATCCCTGCTGTTGTAGAATATTTCATCGCGCAAGCTGAAGGCTGTTACAAATGTCAACACCTATCATCTAATGATCACCATGTAACAGTGAGAAAATCAGAAGAGAAGATATCGAAACATGCTTTACTTACATGTATCTTCTACTTTCACTTTTTCAGGATTCATCCTTTCAGGAAGAGAGAGTTTCCAAACACCATTTTGCATAAAGACAGTTGGAGGATCCAAAAAAAACCCTCTTCCCGTGTACCTGCAATTTTTTTGAAAGACACAATATCTTAAAACATCCCATCTAAACTAGCTTGCTCTTTATTTCCATCCCTTGTTGCTTGACAAGTACCATAGGCATTCATAAAAGATGTACACAAACTACATGAAATGTTCATTGCATTAGCAATTGAAAGCATATATCTAAAAAGGTCAAATATGCACTAAGACAGCAAAACCAATTTAGTAGTTGTCAATATATGGCAAGTTATTACAAACTTGAGATGTTAGACCATCTCCAGCAGGTCGTACTATTTAATTGTGCCAATATCATATTTTAGCACAACCCCAAGGAGTTGGCATGGTGGGTGCAGCTTGGGGCTGTGCTCTCTCCATGTCTCAAGTTCAACTCCCACTAGGTGCTATCAACTCCTTGGGGCCACGCCTGCCGGCTCTGCCCGAAATTTGCTCAATCCACATGGAGGGGGCGCTTTACGTAAGTCTCGGGATTAGTCAATGTGCAGGCGTGTAAGCTGGCACGGACACCCAGTTATTAAAAAAAAACAAAAAAAATATATTTTAGCACACCAAAGTGTCAAAAATGTCGTGTTTTGAAATATATGCTTCAACAATGCATATGTTATTCTTTTAGCACAATTCAATTACTAACATACGATGCAATCGTGTGTACTAATTATATGTATTCACATTGTCTTTAGATTATACTTCTAATTAAAAAGTATTCATCAGCTCAATTAAAACTTGCATCAAAATAAAATTTGATGGTTAGCATTTTCTGATGGGGGCGGAGAGATTTGCTGTTAGGAGGTTTTGGGGAAAGCGGTTTAGTTATTGATGAACGTAGAGGTCGTCTCAACTTATCCGAGATTGATGTACGCAAAGCTAATGATGGTGCTAGTGATGTCGATCCTGGTCCGTCGATTTCGGAGGTTGGTGCTGCTAGAATAGAAGAAGTTGATAAGAGATGGTCTGTTGTTATGGACGGTCCAGAATTTTCTGATGTTTTATGAAATGAAATCATGAGTGTAAAGAAGAATGACGATGTTGTTCTTGATGATAAAGAAAATGTAATAAGTAAATAAAAGTTTGAGTGGTTACATAAATAAAATTAATAAAAATTTTCATTAATCATAATAGTGGTTACATTTACATCAAACTATCCCTCATTTTTGGGAACATTGCATCTAAACCAACAACTGTCCCCAGTAGTTAATATAATACAAGAAATTTCTCCTCTAATAGTGAGATCTGGTTGGAATTTAACAAATACATGGAAGTCTCTCTGGCAACCTACTAAATTTTTCATTAGTTCAGTTGGGACTGTTGAGTATTTGATGTCGTCTATGACGTTGTAGACGATGTCTTGATCATAGTCCTTGAAACTTATTCTACCGGAGAAGTAGTTGTGTCGTCCGAGATTTCTGACCCAGGCAGTTTTTCTTGTTCTTGAAAGGGGATATTGAGCGGATGGGTCGCTATTCAGGATCCTGTTATCAAAGGACGAGGAGAGTTCTTTGTCAGTATGTAAATCATGTATATTATTATTGCGTATCCCTAATCTAATGTTGTCGTCTTCACTGTAAACGCAGAAACAACAATTTTGACATAGGTCGTATTTTATAAAATTTGAACTTACAAACAAAATATTGTTTTCTACCCAATTTTTTACTTCATTTAAAAATGGAAATGAATTAAAGAGGCCAATATATAGCGGCCGTTCTCATTTGTAATGATCCATCGAAAATGTTTTTAATGAGGGGTATTTTGTTACATAATTGGTAGGACATCTTTCTTTGCAGAGTGCAAAGAATTGTTCCTCCGTTTCTGCTTCCGCAATTATTTTCCGCCAGAGTTCGTCTCTGTTCTTCGAGGGACTTTTTCCCTTAGATGAAAATTCTCCCCATTCTATGAAATCGCCGCCTTTCTGTATTTGGATGATAGATTCTCCCGTTAGTTCCAGTGAGATCGAAAAATCTCTGGTTTGAGGCTTGGATCTTCTTTGTGCATTAAACCATGGCATGAAGGTGAGGGTTTCCATCTTCGTCGAACTCCCTAGTGACAAGTATTAGTATAGCTGACAGGCTAGTTAGAGAAGGGATTGAAGGAGTTCTAAGAGTTTTTCTTTTGGGCAAGGGCATTGTGGGTAGGTGAGGAAAATCTTCTTGGCATAGAAACGGAAAGAGACATTTTGTAGTGGTAAACAATAAACTCACACCAGCCGTACAAGGGCTCCCTATTAGTTAAAAATCTGGTGTGAATGGTGTGAGTTGTTGCCGCACTGATCTGGGCCGTCCATTCATGTACTTGTGAACACGTGTATGGATGGGGTTAAAAGGAAGTCCCACTCGGGCCCAGGTGTGATTAGTGTGAGTATTTTTGATTCCTTTGTCGGATAATGCTATACACGTGTCACGTTTGTGGTGGTTTGCGTGGTTGTAAAGTAAAGATATTTTCAAAATGAGTGACATAAAGCAAAGGCAGGAAAATGATTATGTTTTTGAATTATTTTGAATGGGGAATCTTCGTCCTTACTGACGGGCCACTTTTGCTATTTATTTGGTACTAGAAAATATTTGATGGTAGAAAAGAATATGCTTTTGTAACGGGATAGCTATTGTGGTGATGTCGTTTTCTAGTACCTTGTTTCTGAAGCTTGGGTAACCAGCTTAGGGTATGATAGAATATCACCCCCTATTTATAAATGAAGATTAGGGTTTACAAGAAATACAATTACAAGATGATCCCTGAGGACATAAAATGATTACAGACCCTAGTGTAACTTTCGGTTAATATAATATGCTAACACTTTCGGCTAATATAATATGCTAACACTCCCCCTCAAGCTGGTGCGAAGATATCTCTCATGCCCAGCTTGCCTAATATGGCATGAAATGGTTTATTCCCAACCCCCTTGGTGAGATTGTCAGCAAGTTGTTCACCAGACTGGACAAAAGGAGTACAAATGGTACCACTAGTGAGTTTCTCCTTAATGAAGTGGCGATCAATCTCAACATGTTTTGTCCTGTCATGTTGAACTGGATTGTGAGCGATGTTGATGGCGGCCTTATTATCACAGTATAACCGCATGGAGTCCGTCTGATCAATACCTAGATCACTCAACAATAACTGATCCATAAAAGTTCACACACACCTTGTGCCATAGCTCTAAACTCAGCTTCTGCACTTGACCTGGCAACCACATTCTGTTTCTTACTCCTCCAAGTAACTAGGTTGCCGCCAACAAATGTGCAATACCCTGAAGTTGATCTCCTATCAGTTACTGACCCAGCCCAGTCAGCATCTGTATAGGCTTCTACACGAAGATGATCATACTTTGAAAAATACAGACCCTTACCAGGAGCAGACTTCAAATACCTCAAGATTCTCATGACAGCCTCAAAGTGAATCTGATGAGGAGCATACATAAACTGACTAACTACACTGACAGCAACAACAATATCAGGACGGGAGTGAGATAGGTAAATGAGCTTACCCACTAATCGTTGATAGCTCCCCCTATCCACAACTTCTCCTCCTTCATCATCCTCCAATTTCTGATTGGGTTCCAGTGGGGTGGCACATGCCTTACAGCCAAGCATCCCAGTTTCCTTCAACAAGTCAAGCACATATTTTCTCTATGAGATAAATATTCCATCCTTAGAGCGAGCAACTTCAATTCCCAGAAAATACTTCAAGCTTCCCAAGTCTTTGATTTCAAACTCTTTAGCTAAATATTTCTTCAACAGAGGTATTTCCCCACTATCATTGCCTGTAAGAACTATGTCATCTACATAAACAATAAGTGCTGTAGTCCTACCGCGTGAGGAATGTTTCACAAACAATGTGTGATCTGCCTGACTTTGTATGAAGCCATATTTAAACATAGCCTGAGTGAATCTCTCAAACCAAGCCCTTGGAGACTGTTTGAGACCATATAATGACTTCCGAAGTTTGCATACTTTGCCTTCTGTTTGATGATCCTCAAAACCCGGAGGAATGTCCATATATACTTCTTCTTCGAGGTCACCATGGAGAAAAGCATTCTTGACATCAAACTGATAAAGCGGCCAATCTAGATTAGCTGCGAGAGAGAGAAGTACTCTGACTAAATTCATTTTAGCCACGGGTGCGAAGGTCTCCTGATAATCAATGCCATATGTCTGAGTAAACCCTTTTGCCACAAGTCTTGCCTTGTAACGCTCAATAGACCCATCTGCTTTGTGTTTCACAGTATATACCCATTTACATCGCACAGGTCGTTTGCCCGTAGGTAACTCAGTCAATTCCCAAGTGCCATTCTTCCTAAGTGCTTTCATTTCCTCCATCATGGCGAGTTTCCACTCAGAGATAGCAAGAGCATCCTGAAAATGGTTAGGAATGCTAACAGAGGAAATATTGGACACAAACGCTCTATATGAGGATGACAAATGAGAGTATGATACAAACTGTGAGATAGGATGTTGAGCACAAGATCTCACACCCTACCTCTTGACAATAGGAACATCAAGATCAATGGACTCAAGAGATTCAAAGTTACCTAGACTCTCATCAGAAGCAGGAGATGGCAGTGGAGTAACAGAAACGGTCCCGTGTATCTAGTTAACTTGTTTTCTGTCTATGTCCCGGACATAAACATGCCCGTCCTTATTCTTGGTGACAGTGGGTTCTATAGTCCTAGTAGAAGAGGGGGGTTCAAGAACAACTGGTTCCACCATAGGAAGCACAATAGTAGAGGGTGGTGCAAGAACAACTCGTTCCACCATAGGAGGCACAGGACTCACTTCACACCAAAGCTCCCCCGGAAATGAGGACGGTGACACAGGAGAGGACAAGAAATAGGACTGGGACTCAAAGAAAGTGACATCCATGAACACAAACCATTTACGAGAAGAAGGGTGGTAACATTTATACCCCTTTTGAGTAGGAGAATAACCAAGGAAAACACACTTGAGGGAGCGAGGGTCCAACTTACCACGAGAGGGAGAGTGATCATGGACAAAACAGACACAACCAAATATTTTG